TGGTCTTTTTGACGTGGATTTATTACCATTTGTATGGTGATCAGGTGGCTTCGGTGATAGTGTCCCACCTGAGAGCTTCGTCTTGGTTGCAGTATGAAGTTTCCTGGCATTCTTTCTGCCATTTTATCTCTCTTCGTAGGTTGTCTTCTATTTCAGATCGAGTTGTTTTGTCCTTTCTGTCTTGGCTTTTTCAGGACCGTCATTTGATGTCTAATACTATCGCCTCGTATTGTGCGGCTCTGGCGGAGCTGCTCCAGCTTGCGTTCGAGGTGGATGTCTTTTCTGCCCCATTCCATAAGTTTTCTCGTGCTTTGTTTTTCCTCTAGCCTGCTCATACGCCACCTGAGCTGCCCTGGTCCTTGGACAGAAGGCTCTCCTATCTTTCCTCTCCTCGATTTGTAGTGGCCCCTTCGGTTCAAGATTGTTTTTCCAAGGCTCCATTTCTAGTTTCTGTTGGTATTGGCCTCTGGGGGTCTGGTCGGGGAGCAGCATGCTCTCCTCTGGCACAGGGGTTTCTGCTCTTTCGGTCCTGGTAGTAGGTTTGTTCGGTTGCAGCCTTCTCCTTTTCTGGCGAAGAACGAGACGCCTGCTTTTCGGAGGGGTCCTAGGATCATTGATGCTTGGTTGGTCAGGCCGGGGGTGTATCATGTGTTGTGTCTGGTTGTGGCTCCTCGCTTTTATCTGCGCGCTTCGGCTTCGGTGCCTGGGGTTGCGCTTTGGGTTGATCCGGTTTTCCTCATTCCCTTTTCCAGGGCTTGGGTCTCCCAGGTTGTCCACAGGTTTATTAAGTCTAGCCAGCTTGCGGTCTATCCTCGTGCCCATGACAACCTCGTGCTGTGTTTGGCAACAAGTCTTGGGGTGATATTCAGGCGCGGGGATTTCAGAGGGTGAACAGGGTCCTGGCCGCCCCTTATTTGATTAACGTTCCTGCTCCTGGGCATTCCCGTGTTGCTTTGGGTCGCAGGTTGCAGCCAGTTGTCTCGACTTCGCGTTTAACAGTTTGTGGCGGCCACCTCCTGGGTAAGTCCCTCTTTTCCTTATCTTTGGTTATGTAGCTCCAGGGAGCCGAAGGGACTCCCCACAAAAAAACAATATTGTAATGAAACCCCATTTTCTGGGTGAGCCCCGGAAGCTCCCTGGCAACCCTCCCTCCTTCCCTTTGATCGTTTTTTTTTAGCTTTGTTTGATGCTTAGCTTCCGAACTGGAGTGCTGGGTAGCTGGAATGGGGAGGGCCGGTGCTCCCCCCCCTCCCCCTCTCAGGCAGGGCTGCGCGGATGAACGGCACGGCAGTGGAGTGACGTTTACTTGTTGCCTTTGGATTTTAGGGAGTTCTACCTCTCTTTGCTTTTTAGTAGTAAATTTCTTACCATGTGGGGTTTGTTTTGTTGTACCTACCTTTCTGGGTGTCTAATCCCGGTCGATGGCAGATAAGGAAAACCATCAACCACGGGGGGATTTTCCAGGGCCATTGCTCCCTGCAATTCTCCGAGGGGGCCAGGTTCTGGCTCATGGTCCACGGTAGGTTGGACTTCTTAAACAAAGGCCCTGGTCTAATATATCACACATTAGCCCGATAACTTCAGGGAGCCTCCGGGGCTCAACCTGAAAATGGCATTTCATTACCTTCAATGCTGGTTTTTTGTAAATTGAAACTACAGTATGTCAGCCTTTTTTCATATATCTGCCAAGATTTCTGTATAGGAGCTGGAACTTATCTTCATTGAACGTCATGTTATTTTTCGTGGGCAATTGAATGGCCTGATTTATATCAATTGTTATCTTTATTGTCTATGCTAATGATAATCCTAGTATCTTCTGCAAAGCCTAATATGGTACTATAGCAAGTGACTTTGGCCATGTCCAGTATGAGGATGATAACATTTACTGGAACAAGCACAGTACACTGCATATTGAGCTTTTCATAGTGGATGATCCAGATTTTACTTTGTTGACTATTACACTCTAGGTTCTGTTCCTTAGGAAATTTAAGATCCATCTTTCTACTTTGCCAGTACAATAAAAAAAATGATAACATCTGTTGAAAGTTTTTGCAAAATCTGTATATTACATCAGCATTTTGCTTGTCTTCCTTAGCAGTAGGCCATGTCATAGTACAAATAAACATTTGGGGAATGTGTGTGTATGACCAACATTTTTTACATTTAACACTTTCGCTCACCCCGCGTGCCACCCCTCGACAGAGCGATATGGGCCCCAGCATGTCACGGAAGCGCGCGTTAATTCCGAAAAGTGTATACTCTCTTCAACTTTGTCACCTCAATTCTCCTTCTACGAGATTAAATTTGGTATCATTGTGTTCACAATAAAATTCTCTACAGCACTAAATGCATATAAACTCCAAAAGCCCGGCTAATTACCCGCAGCAAACAGAGAAAGTGCGAACGAGTTACCCGGGAGCTCGCAAACGGGATAAAATGTTTTCACTATTTTCACTCTGGTCACCTCAATTTTTGTCCTAGGTCTTTCATTTTGGTCTCAATGGGTTCGTAATAAAATTCTCCAGAGGAACATTAGCATATAAAAAAAAAACTGGTTACGCTCCAACAGCTGACGAGTTGAAGATGGGCCACGCGTTAGCCGTGAGTGAGCGCTCAGAGGCCTTCCTGCTACACTCCCAATTCCCACCCTTTTCAAGCCTTTCTTTCGCAATTTTCTTCCTGGAAGGGCCTTGTTCATGATTACTATCCATCGTGGAGTAAGTGTAGATAGTTTCTAAAGCCGCAGTAAGAAATATAGCCACGGAAAATAGCCGAAATGTTCACACGTTTGAGATGCGAGGGGAGGCGATATTGGTCACAACAGTGGAGCAAAGACAATGGGCCCACGGCGTGTGCCAAGCCGCCTGAGGGCCACGAGGCTCAACAAAGAAAATGGGAAGACATCGGCGCACATTTTAAAACCAGTCCCCAAAAAATCGGATAAAAACCTGATTTTTGGCGAATTTTTAAAGTGGATGACGCAATGCTGCGTCATCTCCGGCATTACCGCCAGTAAACGGATGACGCAATGCTGCGTCATCCCCGAGCGAAAGTGTTAAGTGCATGTTCCTTATGAGAATCATAAGGAAAATTATTTTTTGATTGTCAAAATAAAAATGTTTAAAAGGAATACTTTTTTGTCTCCTGGAGGGAAATGGAGTACAGTATCACTAAATTTTATGCTGAAAGAATGGAAGACAATTATTAAGTGTACGTAATGCTAGATCTGTGTAATATGTAATATGACTCCAACATCACAGTTTATTACCATAATGCACCCTTCTTTGTGTGTATCCTATGTTATTGTACAGTTTAAGGATCATATATGAAAGAACAATATAAATTCAATATTACCCCTTAAATTTGGCCCCCCCCCAAAAAAAAAATCACAAGAAGTATCCAACATAATCATGGTGACTTGAACATCGTGATTTTGATTCCAATTGCATTTCTCTCTAGAAACCTTTCATGTTTAAGTAGTGTGACGGGTTGTGGTATAGCAGCTATACTGAACCAAGATGGCATGGCTCTCCCTCACACAAATAAAAAAAATGCTGCTATTGGCCTTGCAGTGTGTAAGTCACAGTTGGAAACAAATGAAAATCATCAAATAAATAATTAAAACAATTTACTGAAATATTAATGAACAAAAATGACACATTTGTAATCTCCGTGGTGTAGTGGTAAGACACTCGCCTGGCGTTCCGCGAGTGCTTTGTCATGGATTCGTATCCTGGCCGGGGAGGATTTACTGGGCACAAATCCTTAACTGTAGCCTCTGTTTAACTCAACAGTAAAATGGGCACTTGGTTGCAAAAACGATTCTTCGCGGTGGGGATCGTATTCCAGGGACCTGCCCGAAACGCTACGCGTATTAGTGGCTGTACAAGAATGTAACAACTCTTGTATAAAAAAAAAAAAAAAATGACAATACTTGGCTATTATTATACGTATAACAAATAAAATAAGTAAATGAAAGTGTAACTCTAATACAACACAAAAGTATACTGGTGGTGCTGAAGACACCTACCATACCACCACAGCATCCAGCATACGACGTTGGTTGAAGGCAGACGGCGTTGCTGGAGACTAAGGTATTCCTAGAGCACTAAGAGAGAGAGAGACTGGCTCTCCGGGGAGGCGGCGCCCTTTATATAGTCCGGCGGTGATGACTCATCCAGTGTCAACCCAAGGTGGACATCTGGTCAACTAACAAACTGCTCGTTTGTGGCTAGCGGTGCCTTTGTGTTGAGCTGCACCACTGCCAGTTGAAGGCAGCTAACTGCTTATTTGTGGGGGCAAACTACCGGTTAGCAGTGGCGCTTCCGAGTCGTACCAGGCCGTGCCAGGCCCTGGGGTGTGGTTTTCCAGTTTTGTGGTGTGTTTTCATCAACTTGTGTAGGTGCTGTAGATTTTTTTGGATATGTACCACTAACTACCCTAGGTTAGTTAACAAGAAATTTTAAATGAGATACCAAGTCAATAAAAACTTTTAAAGGCATTTGTATTTTCAAGACTGAAGTACTAATGCATTTGTGTAACCCCTTTTATATTGAGGAGATAATCAGGTGAATGTGTTTCAAGAAAACATTTTCTTAACAACTCTATTCAGGCAAACCTAAATGAATGGGATGCTTAAAGTCCCGTCGAATTATTGAATGTTCAATGGAGTGCAGATAGGAGAGTGCTATCATAATTGTCACATGGAAAGTATTGGTGAGGTTGGTTTCAAATTTGCATGTTTACATTAAGGGCCAAGGTTTCTTGGTTACCTCTGGTCAAATGCTTTACTGTGTATGAGGAAATGAACTTTTAACTAACTGAAATATAAAGCTTTTATTGATATAATCAGTCAAAATTTTGCGTAAATGGAATTTACCTTGATATATTTCTGATATGTATTGCTCTTCATAAGAAAATATTAGTTTGTACATTTATTGTTAGTATGGTACTTTAAAAAGTTTGTATTTATCTTAACAGTACTTTTCTCTTTTTGCTAGGTGTTTGTGGAGAACATGATGCGTAAGTGTAAACAAGCTCTGAGGTTGTTTAAAGAAGGAAAAGAGCTAATGTTCGATGAAAGCTCTCACTACCGACGCAACCTCACAAAACTCTCTCTCGTGTTTTCACATATGTTGTCAGAACTCAAAGCCACATTTCCTCAGGGTTCCTTCGCAGGAGACCAATTCCGGATTACAAAAGGGGATGCTGCCGACTTTTGGAAGAAATGTTTTGGTGATAGGTAAGCTAACGGTTACCATTCTTAGGTATTATGTGCTTTAGGAGATATTTTAAAATAATCTTGTATGTATGTACTCTTGTAAATGAAAATAGCACTTTGTATTTCTATGTGGCAATTCATGTTTTCATGGGATAAACTTAATTAACTGTAGTTTGGTTAGTTTCTTATAGGGCTAAGGAAGTTAGTTTAATACTGTAGTTGTTTTTGAGTTTCTTTGCATCAATAGAACTTTTTACTGTTAAGCATTTCATATTCCTTGTCTAGTAACTTGTGGATCACTATCCTATATACACCAATAGTTGTATAATGCATCCCAAATTACAGTATAGAAAGAGAGTAAACATTACTCCTGGACCATGTTTAAGACTAAAGAATACTAACTAGTTAGTAAGCTATTATGCTGCACTTGATAACCCTTAGGAAATTGTGTTGATTTTTGACTGTGCCTGTTGATGGGTTGGAGGGTTTTTTGGTGGTTTTGTGTGTGTGTGTGTGTGTGTGTGTGGATGGGGAATACAGCACCTGATTTACTTGTGGGCCACTAACCCTACCTTGCGGTTACCCTGCGATGATTCCGGGGCTTAGGATCCCCGAGGCCTGGTCCTCAACCAGGCCTATCATAATTATCATCTCGTCTGGTTGCTGGACTGGTCAACCAGGCTGTTGGACATGGCTGCTCGCAGCCTGATGTATCTGTAAATTTCAGTCTGTAAATTTGGGACCCTAATGGCTTCGACGAGGACAGGAAGCTGGTGGCTTGTCGAAGGTCCAAACATCTTTGTGTTTGTGGCAGGCCAATGGTCTTGGAGCTTGTTGGATGTCAGTATTCCTACATATTCTGAAAGCTGGTTAGTGAACCCATGTCGAACATCAGGTTTTTACTGTTTCTGGAGACAGATCTGACTCCCCCAATGATTATTGGTTTATTGTAGGCCTAATAGACTCTGTTTTTTTGAGTAATAATCTAATTATTTTTACCGCAGATCTGGATTTTTCACCCCTCATATTCCCCCATCTTACCTGAAGGGGGTTCTTGTAGGTGTTCTACTCCCGAAACCCAGTCTAGGGCCTGGCTTGAATTGTGAGAGCTTGGTTCAACAGGCTGTTGCTGCAGGCCTACATATCCACTAAATCCACTATCCTGCATAGTGGATATGCAGGCCTACATATCCACTAAAACCCGGTTGGGCTGGCACTTCTTGCAGGAAACAGTCTAATATTTTCCGGAAAAAGTCTACTTTTGTTCTGTCAGTATTTCTTATACTTGCTGGGAGGATATTGAACAGCCGTGGACCTCTGATGATCATACAGTTCTCTGATTGTGCCTATGGCACCTCTACTCTTTGCTGGTTTTATTCTGCATTTCCTACCATTTCGTTTGCTCCAGTATGTTATTTTACTGTGTAAATTTGGGACTTTGCCTTCCAGTATTTTCCATGTACAGTGTACCCTTGGTTTACAAATTTAATCCGTTCCAAGAGACGGTTTGTACACCGAAAATTTGTAAACCGAACTTCTTATGAAAAGTTCGGTTTACAAACAAATTTCTTATGGGAACGAATTTTCCCATAAGAAATAATGTAAATTGAATTAATCCATTCCACGTGTCCAAAAATATTAACTTTAAAATAAATTTTATACAAAATACTACTCATTTCTGTATCGAGCCCCTTCGGCTTCCTAGAGCTATCGGGCTAGTATGCAAATCATTAAACCGGGGCATTAGTCTATGGAGTTCCGCCTACCAGGGAGCACGAGCCAGAACCTGGCCACCTCAGAGAGGCGCAGGGAGCAATGGCCTTTGAAAGGCCCCCCCCTTCCTGTGGTTAGGGGAGTTTTCCTTATATGCCATTGTCCGGTGTTAGGCAAAGGTAGGCATAATAAAACAGACCCCATATGTTAAGAAAATTGCAACCGAAAATCGAACAGAGAGGTAGAACTTCCTCCAATCCCAAGGAAACATCAAACGTCACACTCCATCGCCACTTCACTTGTCCGTGCAGCCTCCCTCCTCTTAAGAGGGAGGGGAGGAGACGCCCCTAAACTCCCCAGATTTCCCATGCTGGCGACCCAGTCACTCCAGTTCATCAGCTAATGCGAACCGGGGCGAACGTCTCCTCTAGCCTTGCTTTCTAAGCAGTGCTTGCTTTCGTGGTGTCCTCTGCGGTGTCGTTGTGTGTGGTGGCTAGGGATCTTCAAGAGTACCGGGGCTGCATGCGCTTAGGAGGCCTCCTTCCCTAAGCACCCTGTTAGTACTGCCCATGCGTGTTGGGGTTCTCTTCCCTAGTGCATTCGGGAACCATTTCTGTAGAGGTTTTTGCTGTTCGGCATTTACTCCGTCCTTGGGGCCAGCTGGGGTTTTGTGGCCCTTCTTTGGCCTTGGGTAGGGAGTGGCATCGTGCTGGTTATGGCATCAAGGTGTGCAGTCTGCCTACTTATGCGGCTGCTGGTTCCTGTTTCCTCTAGGGACGTATTTTTGCGGGAGTTTTTTTATTTGTTTTTATTGCCTGGTGGGGGTCTGCTTGGTGTGGCTATAGTTTTACTAATAATATTTTGGTGGCCCCTCTGCTAAACCCCCGTGATTGTACACGTCGCAGGGGTTTCAGTGTTTTGATCCTCTTATTAGCTTTGGTTCTTAACAGGTTAGCAACACCTTGCCTGGGCTTCCTGTAACAGTCAGCCTACGGGCCCCTTAAAATCCTGTCAGGGCTCAGTCGGTGGACCTATGGATGCGTCTTCCAAGTTCCAGCCTGCCTCGTGCAGGTTTGAAGGTTGCTGTGCGCCCTTGTCTCAGGGTGACAGTCACCTCATTTGCCTCTTTTATGCTGCCTGTTGCGTCGACGACACCTTTGACTCGAAATCTTGCAAGTCGTGTTCTTTGTTTGTTCTCCAGTACTATTCTGGTGACATTACTGTTAGGTTACAGGCAGCATCCGTATTGCATGATAGGTTCAGGTTGCTGCAATGTGCTAGGTTGGTTTCCCATCCGGATGCCTCGTGGCTGCCCCGCTTTGGTTACAGGGACCCGGACCTGGGGGCGTTAGTCGCTTCGGCTTTGGTTCAGTTTGCGCTCCTTGGTCCTTTCCCTGTTGTTCACGCCCCCCTCCCCTTCCCGTTTCCGGCTCCCAAACATCTGAAGGTTTCGGAGTCAGGATAGGGTTTAGTTGGTAATGAGACTCGGGCAGCTTCGTGGGCTTCCCCATTCGGGTTGGGGACAGGCATTCAAGCCGATTCCTTCTACTGAGGCTTCTGGTTCCCACCAGCAGGCCCCTGCCCCCCTTTCTTTTCAGCCTTTTCCCTGGGCTCTGCCTTTTCTTCAGGGATAGAGGGTATGGAGGACTGCTCTGCCCCAGGTCCCGACTTAGGGGATCCCAGGGCTGGGGAAAAGTCAATCTGGGGAACTTGGGCACCCTTTGACCCCACTTGGGTGTTGGTGCCCTCTTCGAGCGGGCTTGTTGCAGGGGGTGGAGTTTTTTTTGCCCTCCCCCCCCCCCAACCTGTATGAGTATGATTTGGGGTTGGCTCCTCCCTGAGTTCGATTCTGGGCTCCCTTGGGTTCCTCGGCTTCTTCATTCCCAGATTTTTTCTGCCTCGATTCTCACCTAAGGAGGTCCGAGAAGCTCTTGCTGTGTACCTCCTGCGAGACCCAGATTCCACCTCCATCATGGATCTGTCCTTATTTGAGTTCGGTTCTTCTTCCTTGTATTGGGTGCGTTTGGAGGTTCCGGAGTCTTCCTGGCTGGCAGACTGCCCCTGCTTTTCATTGGGGGGTGTGGCATGAGTTCTGTCAGACCTGCACGCTTGAGTGGTGAGAAACTTATACCGTTTTGCAGGTTTACCTAGAGGGGGGGCGACTTTGAGCACCTTACCCTGGAAATACAAACCGAAACTGTCTATTTTCCGCTTGTTACAACTTATAATAAAGTTGTTACATCTTGGCTTAACGTGTTTATGACGTATTAGAACGTTGTTACAACTTGCTATATTGGTTGTTATAACTGGTTAGGAGGAGTTAAAACTTGTTCGAACGTTGTACCAACGTTGTAGTTTCGGTGTGTGTTTGGCGGGTAATACATGCTTGTTAGCCCCTGTGCTTTCTTGGGATGCTGGCCTCGTGCAGCTGCACGTTTGGGTTCCCATGCCTTCGGTGTCCTTGGTTGCTGGGGATTTGTGCACCCATGGGTATTTGGCTTCAGTCTTGCACTTCCTTTCCCTTCTCAAGCTGTCTTTAGCTTGGCTTGAGGAGGATGTGGAGGCATTGAGTGCTGGGCCTTCGTCGGGTGTGCTGGCCTCGGCGGCTCGGGTGTCGACCATGTGGTTGGAGCTGTTTGTTCCTATACTGAAGGAGGCAGTGTCTTTGTTCATTTGTTTCAGCCTGACGAACATTTGTCTCTGTTCATCAGGCTGTGCTCGCTCTCTCTTTGGAGTCAGCTTGGGCCCTGGCTCTTAGATTTTCATCCCCATTTTGTCTGTGATCAGTGATGAATGCTCTGTTTGTCGGTCAGCTTCTCGTTAGGGGCGTCGGCCCTTTCGTGGTTCGCTCCATTGACTTGGCGATGGGGGGGAAGGAAGGCTCGCTCTGTTTGCTCACGCTTGGTCTTACAATTCGTGGGCGTTTTGGATCGTGTCATCCAGCCTCTGGGTGCGTTGGGCGGCTCCTCCTCCTTCGAGGGGGTTCAGAGCTGGTGGGGCAGGCTTCTTTCCCTGCGCTTCGTAAGGTCATCTTGGAGAGGGTGCACTTGGGTGTGGTCGAAATGACCCCGTCCCTCAGGTGGGTTTCCCGCCTGTTTCCGGTACCGAAACGGGACTGTGCGGATCTGCGGTTCATTCTGGCAACCCGTCCTCGACTCAAGTCCATTACATCCAGCGATCGATCTCACAGACGCGTTCATAAATTTTAACATGCTGTTCAATCAAAACAGAAATTTTCTCAAATATAAATTAATATTATAATATATTAGCATATTGTGCATATATAGGCATAGGTTAGGTTAGGTGTTTAGGTTCTGTTGGTTTAGGTTTAGATTTGTATTTGTAATACGTAGGTGAAGCATTTACAGCGTTGTGGTTCAAACAAAATTCGTCAGTGAAGCACTTGTTCCGGAGGTGTTCAAACGAAATCAGTTGCGAGTCGTGTGTAAACCGTTTTTCATTCATAAACGGGGTTTGGCAGGTGCATGGAATCATTTTTGGGTCTTTGTTTGGAGGATGGGCTGGTTAAGAATTGGTTAAGGATAAACCCCAAAGCCCAATAATAGCTGACTGTGTTTTGGACAAACAATCAGGATCACATAGCCATGTTTGTTTATATTGGCATAAATCTAAGTTCTCTAGTAACTTCATGCCAATGCCCGGATAAGATCTTATTCAAGGACAGAGGCAGGAATTAATGAGTTAGACTATTAATGCACATGCCGGTGCTTCATCGTATATTGACCCAATGCTCAAAATTTAATTTTGTTTGTGGTTTATTTTAACTTTGTCCTTGAGTATGTTTATTCTTGCTGATGCAACATGTCAGCAAGGTATCTGTATTGCCTCCCTGGCACTGGTCCAGGCTAAAGTAAAGCCCTCAGAGCTAATTATAAAAGCAGTGAAACAATCTTGGCACCTGGTGTTAAGTTTACCGGAAGCTGGGTTCCCACCTGAGGATTCATAGTCCATGTTTTATGTTGTCACTCCCTTAGTAGAGCTTAAGTAAGAGACTAGTGTTATCGAGTTGTAACGGCTGTATTTAATGGGTAATATTATGTTCCATAAATTGGTTTGTATTATGAACAAAAAGGGATGTAGTGGGTATGTGGGCCAGAGGCTGCTCCAAGCAACAGCCTGTTGGATCAAATTATCATACGTCAGTGCCTGACTTGGGGGGTAAAAGAATTCCCGGAGCCCACCCCAGATATACTCCAGGTATACACTGGGATAGAATTATCCCAGATAAGGATTTCTTAGTTTTGATATTGGTGTACTGTATTATGTTGTGTTTGTTTCTGTACAGTATCTTTAAGAACTCTTTCATATTATTGTATCTTGAAACATTTAACACTTGTGAAAGTAAAATGAAGGATCATTTCCTGAACACTGTAGGCAATATAGATCCTTGGTGGCTAGCTTATTTACCAGTACAAAAGTATAAACTTATTCTTTAATGAATTAATTTTGTTTTTAACAGAACGGTAGTGCCGTGGAGATACTTTAGAGACACTTTGAATGAAGTACACACAATTGGTCCAGGGCTTGAAGCCATGGCTTTAAAATCCACCATAGACCTGACCTGCAATGATTACATTTCCAGTTTTGAGTTTGATGTTTTCACAAGGTAAGTACTCTTGAGAGCATGAATTTTATTGAATTGTCTATTTAATATTTTAAAAAGTCACTACAGTATGTAAAGTATATATACACTACCGTATATTGTAAAGCAGCAAGCTTGACTTGGTGCCTCCCTGAGTACTGAAAGAGGCAGATTCCATGTTAATCTGTAACTAGCATTTATTAACAGAACACTTGAGATTGGAGAGCTTCCAGAAATCTGTTAAGAATGCAAATAAAGTTTCCATATTCAAGAAAGGGGGACAGATTTTGCAAGAGTGATTTTATTTACAGACTTTACATTGTGTAATATGTATGTAAATTTGTCTGTTGCACTGATAAAATTCTTTCATCAGGGCTTCACATTTGAGAACAGTGATTCACATGTCAGGCTTAAGCCCTTGTTACCATTAGAACAAAATCACTCCTCTGTCTTTCGGGACAATTTACCCATTCAAATGTAAAGAAGTACTGTCTACTTTTTTCCCTTGTATCATTTTCTTAGGTCCCAGATCTATGTTATGATGATTAATATAATGATATTTTTTTGCAGGCTTTGCTGCATGTGCATCATATTAGACATAAATAGTGTGTGTGCCATTGATGGCAAAATAAAAGATAATTAATGTGAGGATTCTGTAATATATATAGTTTGTGAAATGTGTCAGAAAGTTGTTTCATCTTATTCGTTTTCTTGATGTTCTTCAGATTATTCCAGCCTTGGCCCACGTTGTTGCGAAATTGGCAAATATTGGCAGTCACACACCCTGGTTATGTTGCCTTTCTCACATACGATGAAGTTAAAGCAAGATTACAAAAATATATCAACAAACCTGGGAGGTAAGATTGTTAGTGTTAAGTGCTAAATAACTCCTTGATGATAGTGCTAATTATCATATATATATAAAACATAGAACATTGAACGCTGGCCTTTCTCACGACACTTGAGATCATGTTAGGCATTGATACCTGGTTGATACCTGGTTGATGGGGTTCTGGGAGTTCTTCTACTCCCCAAGCCCGGCCCGAGGCCAGGCTTGACTTGTGAGAGTTTGGTCCACCAGGCTGTTGCTTGGAGCGGCCCGCAGGCCCACATACCCACCACAGCCCGGTTGGTCTGGCACTCCTTGGAGGAATAAATCTAGTTTCCACTTGAAAATGTCCACGGTTGTTCCGGCAATATTTCTTATGCTTGCTGGGAGGACGTTGAACAACCGCGGACCTCTGATGTTTATACAGTGTTCTCTGATTGTGCCTATGGCACCTCTGCTCTTCACTGGTTCTATTCTACATTTTCTTCCATATCGTTCACTCCAGTACGTTGTTATTTTACTGTGTAGATTTGGTACTTGGCCCTCCAGTATCTTCCAGGTGTATATTATTTGATATCTCTCTCGTCTTCTTTCTAGTGAGTACATTTGGAGGGCTTTGAGATGATCCCAATAATTTAGGTGCTTTATTGCGTCTATGCGTGCCGTATATGTTCTCTGTATTCCCTCTATTTCCGCAATCTCTCCTGCTCTGAAGGGGGAAGTGAGTACTGAGCAGTACTCAAGACGGAACAACACAAGTGACTTGAAGAGTACAACCATTGTGATGGGATCCCTGGATTTGAAAGTTCTCGTAATCCATCCTATCATTTTTCTGGCTGTCGCAATATTTGCTTGGTTATGCTCCTTAAACGTTAGGTCGTCAGACATTATTATTCCCAAATCCTTGACATGCTGTTTTCCTACTATGGGTACATTTGATTGTGTTTTGTATTCTGTATTATGTTTAAGGTCCTCATTTTTACCGTACCTGAGTACCTGGAATTTATCACTGTTAAACATCATGTTATTTTCTGATGCCCAGTCGAAAACTTTATTATTATCAGCTTGAAGTTTTTCAATGTCATCAGCCGAGATAATTTTCATACTGATTTTTGTGTCATCTGCAAAAGATACGAAGCTGTGACTTGTATTTTTGTCTATATCTGATATGAGAATAAGGAAAAGCAGCGGTGCAAGGACTGTACCATGAGGTACAGAGCTTTTAACTGCACTTGGACTAGATTTTATATGGTTGACGGTTACTCGCTGAGTCCTGTTTGACAGTAAACTGAGTATCCAGCGTCCTACTTTACCGGTTATTCCCATTGACTTCATTTTGTGTGCTATCACGCCATGGTCACATTTATCGAAAGCCTTTGCAAAGTCCGTGTATATCACATCAGCATTCTGTTTTTCTTCTAATGCCTCAGTGACTTTGTCGTAGTGCTCAAGTAGATCGTGAGAGGCACGATCTTCCCGCTCGAAATCCATGTTGGCCTGGGTTGTGAAAGTCATTGGTCTCCATGAAATTGGTGACCTGACTCCTAATCACTCTCTCAAATACTTTTATGATGTGCGATGTTAGTGCAACTGGTCTATAATTCTTTGCCAATGCTTTGCTCCCTCCCTTGTGTAGAGGGGCTATGTCTGCTACTTTAAGTGCATCTGGTATCTCCCCCGTGTCCAAGCTCATCCTCCACACTATACTGAGTGCCTGTGCTACCGGCACTTTGCATTTCTCTATAAATATTGAATTCCATGAGTCTGGACCTGGGGCCGAGTGCATGGGCATGTTTTCAATTTCTCTTTCAAAATTTAGTGCGCTCGTGTTTATATCAGTTATATTTACAGGGGTTTGAATATCCCGCATAAAGAAATTGTCTGGATCTTCCACCTTCATGTTGTTTATTGGAGTGCTAAACATGTCCTCGTACTGCTTTTTTAGGATATCACTAATTTCTTTGTCATCCTCCGTGTATGAACCTTCACTTGTACGAATAGGATGGTGAATAGAATAGAATAGGATAGAATTGGATGATGTTTATTCCTACAGGTACTGTACAAGGATCCTTTTAAAACTTTCCATGCCCCCTTCAACTGTGCTGGTGATGAGAGATCATGGAGGTCAGAGATCAATCAGCCAATCAAGTGTAACTTTCCACTATGAAACCCAGAAATTGTTTAGACCACTCAAACTTCCTCCAAATTTTTTTTAATAAAACCTAGTCACAAAATTGCATTGAACTGGTAAAATGCCCATTGCTCAATTATTCTTGATTAGTGGAGTACATGCACTCCTCACTTTAAGGTGCTGCCCATAAAGGGGGGTATTTCATTTCATGCAACACATTTCTGGGCAAGATCTCTTGGTAGCTTCCCTAGTTTCCTCTCCACAAAGCTAGAAAAGATTTTTGTTCATAAGTAAAAAAAAAAAATATATACTGTATATAGAAGACCCTTGAAAAAAAATGCCGGTGATGCATTCCTGTAAAAAATGTCTACAGTACTTTGAATTCATTCAAGTAGAACTTTGTACTGTGTAGTAAAATTAGGGTTATACTGTATTCCATAGACCCACTCAAAATTAAAAAAATAAAATCTTTTATCTCAGTATTACATAACAAGTGAAAAAATTAATACCACTAATGTTAATCATCTCTACTTGCTGTGATTAATTGGGTAATTATTAAAAGTGGGATTAGTTGTGCCGTGTTCAAGTAACATGAAATGATTCGGACTTCTTCCACAATTTCCTCCAAACAGCATTTATTGTGCTGTGCTTCACTACTGCTCATACACCGAGGTACATAAACAGTCAGCCAAGCAGGAAGGCTGAAAAGCATGCAAGCAGGCTGGCAGGTGGGCAGATAAGTAGCTAGACTTTCATGCAAGTTGACTGGCAGGTATGAATTTTAGCAGGTAAATATACATATTGGTGGTAGGCATGCAATCAGGTCTATAGGCAGGTAAACATTCAAGCAGGTTTGCAGGCAGGTATGTATGTAAGTAGGTCAGCAGGTAAGCAAGCATGCAAACAGGTCAGCAGATAGGTAAACATGCAAGCAGGTTGGCAGGCAGGTAACCAAACAAGCAAGCAGGCAAGCAGGTTGGCAGGCAGGTAAACAAACACAGGCAGACAGGCAGGTAAGCATACAAGCAGGCAGGCAGAGAAGACATGCAGACATGGAGGTGTGCAGCAGGCTGGACAATAAAGAGCAGCTGGGCAGATCTCGGTTTGCGTTATAACTGTAAGTCTGTGGGAGGCTGTCACACGTATTACAAGAGAAGCTATGCCTAACACAGGGACACAACATAATGGGGAATGGGGTAAAACTTGAGAGAATGCAACAACATAAAGTAGTATTGAAGCAATAGGAAATGTTGCAACACTTGGAAATGCAATAACAAAGGAATATTGGAAAATTAAGAAATTGAGCATGAACTGTAGCATAACTAATAGAAATATTTGTTTATATTTTTTATACTGTACTGTATTTTGTTTTAGGGAAATTCAGAAACATGAGCAAACACAAAAGTTTTCGGGCACTATAAATAATAACTTGGTGGACATGGCATTATGGACACAAAATTCATCCACCTTTTGGGCTAGGCGCACATATCTTTTCTTCAATATCTTTCCAATGGAAAGAGTCATACCAGAGTAGAAAATGTGCTGTGGCAAAACAGGACCACAAGGCTGGATGGATGGAACACACTTAGTCAATCTCCTATTCTTTGACCAGAATAGGGATTCATAGCCCACATTCAACTGCCTTCTGGCCCAGTGGAACACAATTCCATGTAAAGGTAGTGTTCCAAGTGGATGTGAAAACTCAAAGTCCGTTAGTAAAAAATGAGAGCTTGTTAAACCTATGGTTGTACTGCAGGAATGCTGTAAAATGAGAGAAAATTTAACAAGACTGGAAATTGGATCCAAGAACTTTGTTGATTTGTGTATATATATGGTATAAGAGTTTATTTTATAATAATTGGGAAAATAGTGTACTGTATCTCAAATTGGCTTGAATAATTTGTTACTCTGATTTATATACAAGATCAGTAAATATGCTCTCTCATAATTGTTTAAGTTCATTAATTCATTAATGTAATAAAACAAATATCTAATACTAAATTAGGATTCTGTATCTGTATGCTTTTTTCAGAGTGACTCTCTATAGGATCTCGGATATATCAATAAGCTCAAGCATTGCTAGATAAGTTTCTATATTGGTTAAAGGGCCATATAAGCATCCATCATTTGCTGCGCTTAATTATACATGACTTACTTACTTGCAATTTAAAAAACATAAGGGTTGGACATCATCTGCTCTTAGACATTCATATTTATAAATTTTGACATAATTGTAATTTATTAGTTGAGAACTGAAATTAATGGATATTGTTTACTGGACTATTTTGGTCCCATTAAACTTGTATGAACTTTAATTTCATCCCAACAGTTATGTGTTCCGGTTATCGTGTACACGGCTTGGTCAATGGGCGATCGGTTATGTGACCAGTGATGGCAGTATCCTACAGACCATTCCTCAAAATAAATCTCTTTGTCAAGCCCTTCTAGATGGACAGAGAGAAGGATTGTAAGTATGCCGAGTGTCTGGAAGGTTGTTGAACTCTAATGACAGAATTCATTCCCAAAATAATTTGCTAGATAAAATTTAGAGACCATTTGGATGATGAACTAATCAAATTTGTACATTGAAATCATAGGAACGTAGTACTGGACATATATGAGAAAATATTGAATTTTCACGATGGATTGTACCCCTTCCCAGAACTCCTCAAGCCCATCATGGTCTAATCATAGTGCATGTGCCTGAGGTGTTCAGGGATGCGGGTTCGATTCCATTGTGTGGCTTCAACATTAATCAGGTTTACTTGTGGCAAGGGAAGGGTCATACAGTAGCATTTTACACGTAGGTATGCAATACTGATCAAAAGTAGTCAATCTAAGAGTATAAAAGCTCATTGAAATTTTAATTAATAAACAAATTATTTACCAAACTACTGATGCAGTATTAAAGTTGATAAGTCGATACAAGAAAATAATTTTGAGGCAATGAGGTGACTTGACCCATCATTCTGATGATTCCCAGACACCTGCCTTAACCCACTCAGCATTGATAGGACAAATGTCAATCAACCCAGAACTCTGCTGAATTCACTGGGAGGCTCTGGAGATCTGAACTGGTGCCCGACCAGAATTTTATGAATGGCTCGTCTACACTCTGGCCTATGGGTAGTGGTGTGCTTACCCTTATGCCCTCCTTCAGACTACACAAAAAAAAATCACAATGATGTGGTGTATCAATGAGAAAATCATTGATATATCACTATATATATCAGGGTTGGCCTTTCTGTGATGTGTATGACATGCTATATGGTGTGTGTGTGTGCGTGTGTTATAATGAGGTTGCATCAGTATATATACTATTTTGTTTACTATAAATTTTGTATCGATCTTTTTATAATGTTGCTATAGAGACTGGTCAATGGATATAATGAAATGATCCACTTCTGTGGGAGTGAGTGTAATCTCTCCATCGCTGCCCACTGGATGGGACGTTGTGTGTGCGTGATAAGCAAAACAAATTGTGATACCAGCTCACTACATACATAAATTGCTTAGCTTAATGACTGTACATGTGGTAATTCTTGAACTCATTGTTGATATAATATTTCATTAAAATCTGTGTAACTAGCTTATCAGGACTTAACTTGCCTAGCTAAATGAATTGTGGGGTTCAGTTCCTGAACCAATTATGTGCCTCTGTTGGGTATGGGGTGCATAATAAATGAACTAAAATAACAAACCTCCTTTTCCCCAAGAGAAATGTGGTAGATCAAGTGGCAAAACAGTTTCTAGTTAGGATAATTTACTCTACATCAACAATCATTAGCCTCGTTAATTTTAGGTAACTAATTTTCTTCCAAATAGTTGCTTGTTTTCTTACATTTGGGCTTTCTGGTGGGTTTTTCTTTATTTTAGTTGATCTCTGATCCTCAAGCTTCCCCTCAGCTTGTAGAGAGTGCTAGATTTTGGTTCTTGCTTCTGGTAGGCAAGACTGGGTTTCAGAGGCCTGGTATATCTTCTTAAACATGGTTGAACCAGTGCTGAGCTTGTGGATTTACTGAGGGACCACCAGGAAAGAACATTTTGTTACTCAACATTTTCTTGATTCCTCAATGTCCATTGAAAGTTGATAAGGTTCAAATTAAAATGTTCCAAATCTTGTGTGACAATTAATAACCTCCACATATATGTAGATTACTACAAATACCATTATTTGAACACTGAATGTTAAGACTTTTATATGCACTCCCCTGCCTTCATGAAACAGAGAGCATTCTCCACACTTGATGTTTGGCCATTTCATTTACATCACCTAAGACTTGACTTGCCAATATCTTCAGTTACTATTCATATTAATGCAATTTAGTTTTAATCATTCTCTTTAAGCAGATCATCATGGGTCTCTCATCAGTCAGTTCATTCATCATGCCTTCTTCATGATCAGGAATTTAATGTTCATAAAAAACATTAAATTTTATCATGAAAGTCTTTGGTAATATTATCCCTATAAATTTATCTCACATCTTTATTATTTATCTTGTGTTACCTTCTTCAGTACTCTCAACATGACACAAACTATAAATCTTAACTGCTGATGTTATTGACTACTGTAACTAAAGATTGAATACTATTTGATCATATGTGTTCGTGTTATACGTACTTGAATTATATACATATTTGTTCATTACAAAATTCCTTTGGAGTGCCTTAAATTTATATATTTATTACATATATGCAATAAATATTGGTGTCCAGTTGAACATTGTTCATAAGTAGGGTATCTAAAACTTTCATAACTTACAATCACAATCATTCATAACCTACCACTTACTTATCTAAATCATTCATATCATTACTTTTCACTGTTAAAGCTGATTCTACTCTGCAATTGTCCTCTCTCTCTCTCTCAAATGAGCAAACTTTGAACATGTTTACATTTAACAAAAACATCCTTATATTGAGTACCTTACAAGAAAAAATATTTTGCTTAATTCCTTTTCTACCTACTAACAATATCTTCATTCATATACAGTATAACTGCTATGGTATCTTTTCAGTGCCTCCACAGTTTAACCATACCTGACAGTCACCCAATCTCATTTGCATCTCATATTGACCCACAAATGCAGTAAGTGACTGCAGTGATTTTTGAGTAACTTTAATGCACTTTCCCCATTTATGTTAGATGATTTAGTAATACCACCTTTGCTCTTACATAATGAATCTTACATTATAAAAGCTCTTGCCAGAATTCAAGAGTCTTCTGTACTAACCATAAAGAACCAGGACTTCTTAAGTCTTCTCTTGTTTATTTTATGTTGTGCCTTGTCTAAATTTAGAAATTTAGCAAGTGCAGTTACTGTATTTACATGTTTCTTTGCATCTTACTGAAGAGCAGGAATATGATCTCACTTGCTTCATCCTTGTTTCACAATGCTTTTTAGTCTAAAATTGTTTTCATACCATGTTATAATGGCATAATTTGCCTTGTAAACAAAACTAAAAAGATTTACTTCTCATTAATTATATTATGTTCCCAAATTTCAATTTAAGCAACATTGTCTTTTCATATAGCTAAGCACACACGAGTCCACAGTAAAGTAGTTAATTACAGCTAGTTTCACCTCTCCTTACTACAATGTTCTTCTCAACATAATTGTTTTCTTCGGACCAGCTTGCTCTAGTGTATTCCCTTGTCTACACCCCCCCTCCCCGTCTCTTCATCCATTCGTGCTTCCCATAGTGACTTTTTCCTCATGGATTTGTAATCCTTTAACATTACATAAAGCATTCTTGCAGACACCATCATTAATCACTTCTCTATTATCACTTAGTGATAATAGCAAATGGTAAGCTTTATCATTTGATTAACAGTTGAGAATGTTTCAGTATTGCCACATTTTTACCATACTCGACAGCCTTTCACAGTCATTTGTTTGCATTTCTCATTTACTTTTCAGGAGCTGTTTAGCTATCCAGTTTAGTCTCACATATCTTAATAAAAAAAGAATTTTCTTGCAGTTGCATTTACACTTTTTACTTGCTTATTTTTTACATTTTTATCTTATGTTACACTCTTCTGCTCAAGTTCCTTCTGTTTATTGTCAGCAATGCAGGTCCGACATGTTCATCATTACTGCTAGTAATGCAGGTCCTACATGTTCATCATTACTGCTAGTAATGCAGGTCCTACATGTTCATCATTACTGCTAGTAATGTAGGTCCTACATGTTCATCATTACTGCTAGTAATGCAGGTTGTGTGTGCTTATCATTACTGTCAGGAATGCAGGTTTTGTGTTCATCATTACTGTCAGGAATGCAGGTTGTGTGTGTGTTCATCATTACTCTCATGAATGCAGGTTGTGTGTGTGTTCATCATTACTGTCAGGAATGCAGGTTGTGTGTGTTCATCATTACTGTCTGTAATGCAGGTCATACATGTTCATCATTACTTTTAGTCATGCAAGTCTATTAATAATGCAAGCTGTATATGTTACTGTATCAGTAATACAGGACCTATAACTACAATTATTGTTAAATACATACTGAATAGGGAGTAATTTAGAAAATAAGGATGAATATCTAATGCCTATATACATTAAATTAGATATCTTGTTTTTTTGCAGTTATTTATATCCCGATGGTCGAAATCAAAATCCGGACCTTACGTGGGTTGTAGAAGCCACTCCAGAGGATCATATAAAGGTTAGTAATCCAAGAATGTATTGCATATTATAATATTTAATGAACAGCATTTGACGCTGGTAATATATAATATGATCAGCGTCTGTGTCTTCATCATATATTTGTGAAATATATGATGAAGGCACACAAACATTCATACCAAAACAGATACAGAAGCAGAAAACAGGATTAGCTGAACGGAAATTGTGAGAGGGCTAGAGAGTAAAAGACAAGAAAATGGGTACAATATAGGAAGAGGCTTAACCCGCAAACATACCAGCACTACAAACAAGCAAGAAACAAAGACACAGCAGTGAGGAGAGGGGCAGAAAGGAACTTTGAGAAAGCTTTAGCAAACAAATGTAAAACGGATAAAGGCCTTGTCTCTAAATTCATTTAAAGCAACTAAATGTTTAGGATAAAATCCAGAGATTGAAAATGGGAAACAGGTTCACTGAGAATGGAAAAAGAAATGTGCAAAACACTAAATCAACAGTTCAAAAGTGTGTTTGTGCAAAATGATGGTTTTCAGAGAACCAGACACAGCACCAATTCCAGAAAACACCATAGAGTACATAGATGTGTCTCAAGATGAAGTAGATAATTTACTCAAGGGGCTAGGAAGAAATAAAGCTTTTGGACCAGATGAACTTTCACCTTGGATGCTGAGAGAATGTGCAACTGAGTTGAGCATTCCACTTCAACTGATATGCCAGACATATTTGTCCACAGGAATCTTAGCAGATATTTGGAAAAAGGCCAACAGTTCCAATCTACAAAAATGGTAGCAGAGAAGACTCTCTAAATTATAGACCTGTATCATTAACAAGTGTTGTAGACAAAAAACACTAGAAAAAATAGTTAAAACCAAATGGGTAGAACACCTGGAGAGTAATGATATAATAACAGACAGTATGGTTTTCGAACAGGAAGAGCCTGTGTAACAAATATTAGTTTTTATGATAGAACCACAGAGATTCTACAAGAGAGATGGTTGGGTTGACTGTGTATATCTAGACCTAAAAAAAAAAAAGGGCTTTTGATAGTCCCACACAAGAGGTTGTTTTGAAAACTGGAACATGCTGGAAGTGGATGAGAGACAGGGAAGGAGACTGCTGACATGGATGACAAATTTTTGAACTGACTGAAAGGTGAGAGCAGTAATCACAATGTATATGACTGGAGGAGTGTTACTAACAAAGTACCACAGGGTTCAGTTCATGCATCAGTAATGTTCATTGTGTACAAAAATGATCTACTAGAATGAATTCAGAATTATATGAACATGTTTGCTGATAATGCTAAGCTACTAGGGAAGATAGGATATGTAGACGATTGTCATGCCCTTCAAATGTACTTAGATAAAATAAGTGCTTGGAGTACCATGTGGCAAATGAAAATCTGTTTTAAGTAAATGCCATGTTATGGATGTAGAATTGGAGAAAATAGACTACACACAACTTATAAATTATATGGAAAGGTATTCAAGAACTCTAACAGAGAGAGATCTAAGGGATAGTTCTAGATAGTAGAATGTCACCAGAGAAACACACAAAGAATATTATGTGAGGAGCATATGCTCCACTTTCCGACTTTAGAATTGCTTTTAATTATATGGATAGTGAAATATTAAACTTCTCATGATTTTTGTGAGACCAAAATTGGAATATGCAGCAGTTGTATGGTGCCCATATCTGAAGCAGCACATCAACACAATACTGGAAAAGGTGCAAAGACATGACACTAAGTGGCTCCCAGAACTGAAGGACAAGAGCTATGAAGAGAGGTTAGAGGCATTAAATATGCCAAAACTAGAAGACAGAAGAAAAAGAGTTGATGTGATCACTACATACAAAATAGTAACAGGAATTGATAAAATCGATAGGGAAGATTTCCTGAGACTTGGAACTTCCAGAACAAGAGATCATAGATTTAAACTAGCTAAACACAGATGCCGAAGAAATATAAGAAAATTCACTTTCACAAACAGAGTTGTAGACAGTTAGAACAAGCTAGGCGAGAAGACGGTGGAGGTCAAGACCGTCAGTAGTTTCAAAGCGTTATGTGATAAAGAGTGCTGGGAAGATGAAACACCACGACCATAGCTCTCATCCTGTAATTTCACTTGGGTAATTACACTTAGGTAATTACACTCACTCACTCACTCACTGGTCTATACTATACATATATGCTATTATTTTATATTTAATGACTACATACTCAAATATGAAACCATTGGTTGAATACTTCACACAATTTATATACATTAATAAATATTTTGTTTCATTCCTCAGGTTACCCAAGAACAGTATGAATTATACTGTGAAATGGGCTCGACATTCCAACTGTGTAAAATTTGTGCAGAAAACGACAAGGACATCAGAATAGAACCCTGTGGACACCTCCTTTGTACTCCGTGTTTGACTTTATGGCAGGTCAGTCTTAACTTCTGCACTGTGCACTTTCAACCGGGGTTGTTTCCTTGGTGGTGCGCACCTCAACCGGGGTTGTTCCGTTGATGATGTTCACCACAGCCAGGGTTGCTTTAGGCCTATCATAGAATTTAAAACTCAAGTGCATACACGGGGCTCACTTTTGCTTCTTTGGCCTCCGGTAAACATCCACCATCTTGGAAAAAAAAAAGTCACTCACTTTCCTTCTAGGGCCTTAGTAGAATGATGTCTGGCACATCGCCATCCAGTGTCTGAAAATACAGGGTAGCCATACTAGGAGGGATTTAACTTTAAACAGCAGCAAATGAGTGATTACTGTGTATATATTTACAGGCAAAATGTGTGCTATGTACAATTATAAGATTTAGGCTTGTAAATATATGTATATTATTATGAATAAATACATCATGAGTGGATATTTATATACGTGTATCTGTACATGTGTATTTTCAAAGTAATAGATAATGAACACCACCATTGGCACATCAATGCAATTTGTTAGAATGAAAAAAGTACATTAATAAAGTGAGAAACATCAGAAATAAATTTACAAAGTTATTCCTGTGCGGCATCCCATCTCATTTTTATCTAAAAATAAAATTTCTCTGGGCCACTACAGCTAAACCACAAGAGAGAGATGGACTTTATTTGAATTTTTGTGCTTCCTGGATACTAATTAACAATATCAAATTAAAAATAATTTTTTCAGAACAACTTTTTGTGTGTGCACCAGAGGAGTGTTACATTTAACAAGTGCATAGTGCAGGGGTTAATGTCATTTACTCAGCAGGTAAATACGTCGTCTTGATCTCATTTGCGGGCGAGTCTTCATTATGATGGCTGGGTAGTCATACCCAGTAGGTTAAGAGTAGGTTAAAATTGCCAGTTGTCCACCACTGCTTGCAAAACAAAACTCTATTACCCATGAGTCATAAGAGACAACACACAGAAATGTGACACTGTCAAAATATTAGGTGCAATAGCAAATGACCTGATAGGCAACATAAGACGGTAATCTTCCATGGTCTACCAGCTTCTTTCATACTACAACAAATGTTTTAATAATGTGTGTGTGTGTGTGGTAGATTTAATCTGATTTGTGAACCTTGTGACAGCCTGCTTTAATGGCCTTTGACATTTATTTGGTCCTCAAGGTGAGAGACAACATTAGACTTCAATTGCAAATGGAACACCTACAGTTAAATTCAAACCTTTTGTTACCTTTCCTTTTAACCACTGTGCTGCATCAACCGAGAAAACTCGGTCAGTGGGAAACTGCGCCAACCGAGAAAACACCTTTTGAATATTTCGTACCCATTCAAAACGGGTGTGCTGTAGGTTGTGTACGAAATGGACTCTTGTGACCTCCAGTGAGAGGCAGCCATCTTGGAAAAAATTCCCAGAATGTCTTAGGGCTGCTGGCTGGCTTAGTACTGAGTGAGCAACCATGGATGGCGCACACGCCTCTGGCTCCCAAACACCTGTCTGACGAGGTGTTGAAAGATCGCTCTCTGTTGGTGAAATTCAGACCTTATTGTTTGAAGAACATAAGGGTCATGATATTGATCAAGCTAGGCGCAATAAGGACCTAACACAAAGATCGGATGCAAATGATACAGCTAAGATGAGGACGATACAGCGAGCATATCCAGTTGTAGCTCTGAGCGCCACTTTTGCCATCTCTAATTTTTATAGATGATACATAGATGAATCATTTTCTGGGTTCAGTGATGATGCATCTGATACAAGTAGCATAGATAAACAGTGTTAGCGGCTTTCATGGTGGTATTTTCCGTAGATATTGTCAGGAATAGCGGAATCTCTTCCAGAATGGCTGAATCTCTTCCTGATTGACTGAATCTCTTCCTGGTTGACTGAATCTCTTCCTGATTGACTGAATCTCTTCCTGGTTGACTGAATCTCTTCCTAGTTGACTGAATCTCTTCCAGTGAGGGACATTACAAAGCGATCTTTTCAAGACTACATTACAAGTTGATCTTTTCCTATAATCTTTTCAAGACTATCTTAAGCTTCACAAGCTTTTTCTACATACCATCTATAGGTACTAAAGCCTATGGTGTATGTGAGTGTGTTACATACAAGCATACAGAACGAAGAAACAGGAAGCGAAAATCTATCTGTTCCTGGTGCAACGAGAGCGAAGTTGTGCTATGTACCATGGACTGCTCCGTTGATTATCACTCACTTCTGAAGTACTGTACTGAGTGTGTTATACAGTGTGTTACAGTGTAAATAGTGCGTGAAACTGTACATATTGTAATTTTAGTGAATTTTTAACAAGTAATATTGCGACAATAAATATTTATTGTGGACACATTACTGACACATGTATCACAGTTCCATGGAACATTATGAATGTTCTACTGTATACATATTGTAAAGAACACAAAAATGCATCATATACGATAAAAAACGCATTGGAAATACATAGAACAAATAATTGAAAATATATTTGTGGCAACTCGCGGTGCTTGAATGGCGCGCGCGACTGCCTCTGGAAGCTTCACGCACGTGAAGCCCCTCTTCTCCACGGGCACGACCAACCCGTGACGCCCCCTTCTCCACGTCCCCCACAGCCAAAGTAAGTGAAATTTTTTTAGTTTTTTTACACGTACATGTTACCGTACGTGTTTAGTGTTCAGGGAAGGTAATTTATCATTTTACAAATATAAAAAAAAATTGGAAACATTTGATTTTATGCACACAGGGGGGGGGAATGTCACAAGAAACTCGGCGCATGACAGTGGTTAATGATCACACAACTTTCCAAAGAACTAGCCATGAAACAGCTGAGCAGCCAGGTGTCCGATTACTTTTAGTCCTCTACAATGAAGAATGTATAAAAAGGATTGTAATTCTTACATGGTTCATCCAATATGGATGCAAATTTTTTAAAATTCAAGTTGAAAGTCTGCCCTTAACATCATTGGCATTGTTTTATTTCAAACTAATATGTTAACATACACAGCCATAAATATCACTTTTTTCCTGTGTAAGTTTGATTTAATTTCCTATACCTGTTTAGTCTAGCAGTATTGTAATGATTTGTATAAGTTATGGATTAAGTTTCTGATTCTGATGATGACAATGTCTACGTGCTATGCTGTTATTACGATTCTTTTATGTAATTAATGTACTTTTTCATGTAACTTTTCCGAGTTATAAATGTGAAGTACATCAATATATGAATATTGTCTTTAATTGATAACAACAAATATTGAGTTACTGTTAAAATACTAACTGATCACGCTGTATATAAATAGTCATATTTTCTTCAGTCACCGACAAATGGCTGCTACTATCCGCTCCAAATTTCTATTTTCACTTACTTATTTTTTTTTTTTTGTAAGTGGCTTTAGTCTATGGTAACACTGATGTTATTGAAAATTTGTACTTTAATTTGTTGGATTTTTATTCTGGATCGTTTTCTTCCATGGTTTATGTTATATTATCTTACCTTACCTTTCAGGAAATGAGATCAGGAATCTCATTTCTTCATTGTCTTGGAATAGATTTTTCTCTAAATGTAAAAGGAATGAAATTACATTTTTAGTATCCTAAAACTGAATTTGTTTTCCCAGATGTAAAAGCTCCATCTCATCCATAAACCTGGTGTTCCTGCTAGTGTGATCCTACTGCTACCGGTTATCGGGTTTATTTAATACTTTATACGGTGATGGCAGCAGTGGTGGCTATTGTGTTTTATCAATGTTGTCTCCATCTCTATATTATTAATAATAACAGTGGATGAATGTTACCATAAACTTACCTTTTTGCTTTCGTTATACATTTATCTTTTTATTATTTATAATTTACATTACTTATAGGACTCTGAAGGACAGGGGTGTCCGTTTTGCCGAGCAGAAATTAAAGGGACGGAAACAATTATCGTGGACCCGTTCGACCCTCACAAGCAGCACCGTGCGCAGTCTCTACCTAGTGGTCAGCTGATTGATATGGAGGAGGAGGATGAGGTATTGATGGAGTGACCAGTTGTAGCCTGCCATGCCTTCTGCCTGCCTCCCATTGGTCGTTGTCAGTGCAAGTGACCAATAGGAAACTGTGCCTCCTGCCTGTATCCCCATTGGTCAGTGTCAGTGTAAAAATGACCAATAGGAACTTGCATCTCCTGCCTGCATCCCTATTGGTTCCTAAGTTTGTTTGCAGGCCAATAGGAACAGCTTACAACTTGCCTCCCTATTGGCTGTTGCTGATTAACGACCACAGTGGACAACTACTCTGTGATGCCCTTGCCGCTTTCCTGTTGGTTGATAATGCTGACCCCAAATGACTGATTGCTATTGCCATAGCTGCACTACAAGGATCAGTGCAACTCGGCTAAAATGCAAATGAACTCAGTATGTGTAGCATGCCGTAGCAGTGAGTGTTCAGTGTCATTTCTTGATGTTCTGCCCAGTCCCCTTTCCCTGTCCCTTGCATATGTGTATATAATGACCGGCACATACAAAACTTACTGATGCGAATCTTATGTACCTTATTACCGTTCCTCAGTCGTAGTATTTTAAGTAGATTTTTTTTCTTCCATTTTTAGCATATTTGCTATTTTGGATTAATGTATTATTTTTGTAAATATTAGTATACAGTACTTTGATTATGGTGTTTCAATATTATTTTTTCCATGAAGAAAATTGTTAGTCATTTACTGATTCACTGTTGTTGTAATGATACAGATATTAAACAATAAAATGCTGCAAAGTAATCAAGCACTCAGTCTAGAGCATTTCAGTACTGCTTATTTTTTTCCCAGTTTGCAAAATAATAACACTAGTTATCCATTAATAACATTTTTTGTTCTAGTTTTGACCTGAGGAACTTATCTTGTGACTACTCTAGTTAACCAGCTTGCAAGCAGTGATGATTGACAGAAATATACATTATTTTTTAAGACTTAATTAGCCCTAGTGTGGATGTAACATCATTCTGCATAAATATGTACAAATATTTTTTACATAAAATAATGCTAATTAAATAGATTTTAGCTTAGCACTTAACAGAGGAATTAGCAAAAATGTCAGTAAATTTAATTAAGTTTGACTTAATATTAAATCAAATAGAAATGGCAGAAAATAGCATACAGTGCAATATTATATCAAGGGTAACTAGCTAGTAGGTAATGGTGGTAGAGGGATTCATCTTGCTAGTTGGTAATGCTGGTAGAGTGATTCATCCTGCTAGTTGGTAATGCTGGTGGAGTGATTCATCCTATTAGTCGGTAATGCTGGTAGTGATTCATCCTGCTAGTTGGTAATGCTGGTAGAAGGGTTCTCATCTTTGCTAGCTAATAATACTGGTAGAAAGGTTCTCATTTTGCTCATTGATAATACTGATAGAAGGGTCCTCATCCTACTAGTTGATAATGCTGGTAAAAGGGCTTCATCCTGCTAGTTGATAATACTGGTAAAGGTGTTCCATCCTGCTAGTTGATAATACTGGTAAAGGTGTTCCATCCTGCTAGTTGATAATACTGGTAAAGGTGTTCCATCCTGCTAGTTGATAATACAGTACTGGTAAAGGGGTTCCATCCTGCTAGTTGATAATACAGTACTGGTAAAGGGGTTCCATCCTGCTAGTTGATAATACTGATAGAAGGGTTTTCATCTTGGATAAAGTCAAACTCCTCACGTTGCACATGCAACTTTTCCCTTATAGTTGCGACAGTATGTCTTCATACATATACTTCATACGTATACTGAAGCCCCAGGTATCCCATACGACGCCTTACTATCCGTTATTGTAGACAACTGGATTGATGTGCATTTTTTTATGCTAATGTAACCAACTTGACAAAAAATGTAGTACAAGTACAGTATTAATAGTTATTAATGCTTTATCAAAAACAGTATATCTAAGTTTAGTTTAGTTCATTTATTATGCACCCCTTACCCATCCTGTGGGCGGTAGTGGAAAGGGTTACAGAGGCATATAATGGGCTCAGGGACTGAACCCCATAATTCATTTAGCTAAGCAAGTTACAATCTTGATGAGCTAGTTACAAAATTCAATGCACATCATCACATCAACAATGGGCTCGAGATCGACTACAAGTATGAGTTTCTAAATTAAGCAACTGACGTGTGGAGAGCTAGTGTCACAATTGATATGTTTATCCTGCACATTGCCCCCTCATCCAGTGGGCAGCAGTGGATAGGTTACAATCACTCAGATACTACCTACAGTTAGCAAACTGGGGATATTTGGCTAAGATTTCTGGCAGCAGATCATTTTGAATGAAATATTTACACATCTCTTGTAAATTTGTTATAGAATTGTTTTTGAATTCACGCATCTTTTCGCACTCCATCACACAGTGACAGATGGTGTGCGAATAATTTTGTTGACACAGATTACATTTGGTCAGGTTTTCATCAGCAGATAGTGAAAATTCCCAGAGATACTTGTAACCGAATCTAAGCCGAGCAGCAGTAACATCTAGAAGTTTGTTGCCTTTATTGGATAATCCATAGATGTGTGGCTCCTCTTGCATGATAGTACAGTATGATGATAGATGGAATTATTTGTGTCGATTTCACTTTACCTCAGATCTACAAGATTTTGTTGAAGTTCTTGGTGTACTATTGCTCTCAGACTGCATATTGACAATCCAAGGTTGTACTCAATTTCTCCTTTAAAGGCAGATTCTTTGGCTAACTCACAGCTTTGTCATACATCGGAGGCCAACATGAGATGGAGTCCACATGAAATGGACTTTTATCATCTTCTTGATGTTATCTCGAGATGATTTCGGGGCTTAGCGTGTCTGCGGCCAAATCCTCGACCAGGCCTCCTTTTTGTTACACATCTCCAGGAAGCAGCCTGTAGCAGCTGTCTAACTCCCAGGTACCTATTTACTGCTAGGTGAACAGGGAGATCAGGGTGAAAGAAATTCTGCCTATTTGTTTCCGCCTCCACCAGGGATCGAACCCGGAACCTTAGGACTACGAAGCCAAAGTGCTGTCCACTCAGCTGTCAGGGGCCCCCTCATTAATAATTTTGTTGCATTTGTGTCTAGCTTCAGACACGAGCATGTTGCAGTTATGTCTTAAATAGTTGAGAGCAATTAAGGATGATAAGTCACAATTAATGTATAAAGTTTGGGGACTTGCACACATTTCAGTGCAAGAAGCAAGGCAAATAACTCAGTCTGAAGTGTTTATTAAATGGAGAGCTGTTCAACTACAGTATTGGTTATGTTTTGTGTTTTCCTGGGCTCGTAGTTTATTCACAGTGGGAGTTACTTTATTCACAGTGGGAATTACTTTATTCCCAGTGGGAATTAGTTTATTCACAGTGGGAACTTGTTTATTCACAGTGGAAATATAGTTTATTCAGTGGGAATGTAGTATTATTCACAGTAGGAGTACGTATAGTTTATTCACAGTGGGAATATAGTTTATTCACAGTGGGATTATAATTTATTCACAGTGGGAATATAGTTTATTCACAGTTGGAATACAGTTTATTTACAGTGGAATATAGTTTATTCACAGTGGGACTACTGTAGTTTATTTGCAGTAGGAATTCGCTTAAACTATATGCAGTGGTACCTTCGTTTTAGAATTTAATTCAAACTCGAGAAACGAGTCAAACCTCGAATACCGAGTCAAATTTTACGAAGAAATTAAGCTCGAAAACTGAAAAATTTGAAAAGAAGGCCATTCGAAAATTGAGGTTCTACTGTATAGAATTTTCAGCTGTTATCTTCACAACTCCCAATATACAATATATTTGAAATTGTATGTGAAACATTCACCCAAAATTTGTGGGGGAAGTAAGGTTCATAGTTAAGAAAACTATGCAAGAATCCTATGGTAGATAAGTTAAAGTTATACCAAAGATAAAGCAATTTGATTAAATTCAGTCAATGCATGTAAGAGTATAAATTTTTTTTAAGAAAGCAAGAACAAATCAAGAGATTTTTAATCTTAAGTGCTGGATAATAAACAAATACAGAAAAGATTAGTGGAAAAATTTTATATTGATAAGATTAGAATGCCATGGAAAAAAAATGTTCAATAAGAAAAAACAGCCAAAGCATAGCAATTAATTTATGGTCATTTTAAGCTGTGAACAAGCTATTGGCTGCTCATTGTAATAGCAAAAATTAGGGGAGGATTGATAGTCTGCCAGAATAGTTAATAAATTTTAGAGGTGAAAGTTATTGGTATTGGGTGTATGCACAACCCTGATTAGTAATTTGAATAATTTATGGGGAAAGGAAGGGAATTATCAGGGGGAAAGTGCCAAGCAATTATGACTATATAACACTTAGAAGGGGTTAGGATAAGGATTTGGGATGGGACACGGGGAGAGGAATGGCGCCCAGCCACTTGGATGTTCGGGGATTGAACTCCGACCTGCATGAAGTGAGACCGTCGCTTTACCGTCCAGCCCAAGTGGTAGGACGAATAATTTATGGGGTTTTAGTAAATTTATAATTTTGGTTGTGTTTTTAATGGTTATTGCAGTAGTTTAACCTTTTTTAGGATTTATTTCCTATTCATTATTTAGTTGGAAGAAATATAGGCCTATTGACCTTCATGTTTATCTTACAAATGCTTCTGAAAAATTTGAGACTGAGGGTGTTTATGTAATGTTCTCAGTGTGTGGTGTATGTGGAGTGGGGCGGAAAATATGTACTGTAGTACACATTTTGTACTATGTACAAAAATGGTACACTATGTACTTCAGTAGAGGATAAATCAAATAATTAGGGGGAATTGAATGTCTGGTTTATGTTGGATTACAGTACTTACGTCGACTCGTGAGCAAAGAATAAGTCACAATAATTTGGCTGAAAATTAGTAACTCGGCCCACACATATGTAAAGATTGGAAAGTGATGATGATATGGTTCTTTCTGGACCGCTATAAAGTAGTCTCATTATGTTGTAACTGTGCTTTAATGTTCAAAAGTTGATGGGGTTGGAAATAAAGTTATGGTATGTAATTAGTAA